CCCCACACTGTCTCTTGGAGCTGCTGGAACTGCAGGGCTGCAGGTTTAACAGTGTAAAACTCTCACTTGCCTAGGCCAGCTCTGACCACTGTCTCCAGATCTTCACATGCAGCACCTGCAAGACTTTCTGCTCTGCAGCTGCTCTCCTCTGACGCAAGAGACGGATACCTGAGTTTGTCACTGGTGCTGCCGTGGGCTGCGCTGTCCCAGTGGCCTTTTCAATCTGCCATTGTGCGGGAAACCGGGGGAATGTGAGAGCTGCTGGCATGCAGGAGGCACAATGCCCTTGTCAAGCCCAGACAGCACAGGTGCTCCAACAATCAGCAGCCATGACAGGAGATGTGTCCTGACAGCGTTCATAAAGAACAGAACGGGATTAGAAGAGCTGGAGAGACAAAGGGGCACAAAGGCACGACGCCCCCATAGCTGCGCCAGGCACACAGAGGCCTTGCCTCACAGGCGGCAGCGAGGCGAGAGCTCGGCCCTGCTCCCCCTTTCGCCGATCTATCTGATCGATCAGACCTCACACCCCGCTCCAGACAGCCCTCCTGCAGGGGTCTAAAGGCACAGAGATCAGGGCTGGGCAGGAACGAGAATAGAAGACCCTGTAAATTCTTGGGGACCCCCCCCCCACGAGGGAGGGATTCTGTTCCACGCCTCTCGCCCAGCGCCATGCGGCTCGGACCTTGGACAGCTGCGGGACCCCCCGCCCGTGTTCCCACTGAGGAACTGCGCTCGTTACCTTTTGGAGCTGAAGAGAGTAGACGCCGCTTCCAGTTTGCGAGAGGAGCCCCAGTACGGCGGTCTTCCTCATCCTCCTGCTCGTAGCTTACTGATCCCCGGATCTCACTCATCCGTCTTCTTGGAAAACCGCAGGGAATCCAGTTCAAGAGCAGAACTGGGCAGTTTGCTCCGGCCACGAGCCATCCTTAGTGTACAGCAGCGCCTCCTGTGTTCAGTCATTAGTGGTCGCCTGGCCCAGTGTTCGGCTCTGCTCCTCAATCCCAGCTTCCCGTCCTGCAGCGGCTCGGGCGGCCTGGTGCTGCTGCAGGAGGCACATTCATCACCCTGCTCTGCTCCTGCTGTCCACTCGTCCTCCTGGCCCAGCCCGCGCCACAGCTGACGAGACTCTTACTACGGCAGATCGGGACGTTTTCATCACAGCACCAGGGCACCAGGAAAAGGCCAAGAGCCCTTCGCTCCAGTCCCAGCTGGTGCTAGACGGGAATCCCTGAAGCTCGCCCTCTGCTGGTTTCTCCAAGCAAAGGAGAAACGACAAAACTCCTGCACGAGACGAGACCAATACTCCCAACATCCAAAAATCTCTTAGGACCAGGTCAAGAGAAGAATGACCTGGACATGTGTACTTAAAAGCCAACTGCAGATTCAAACGAAGGACGCAGATGTTTTCTTTCTGGAAAAACTACTCATGTTCTTTGTACGAGAGCTCTCCCCTCCACCTGTTGCTCTGGTGCCCTCTTCAGGAGGAAACGTGTAATCTCATATATCAGCAATGGCCAAAGCGCAATCACGTATGTTCGGATTCTTAGCACAAAACAACACAGTCCTCTTTAAACAAAGAAACAAGTTTAATGTCCATGAGAAAAACTGTTACGTGTGAAAGCTCATCAGTGTAAACTGTGCTGTATGTGTGGGTCCGTGTGTTAGGAGTCCAGTGTTAACAATTGGCTCAATGTGCTGTTGTCATTTCTTACAAAAAAACAACAAAACAAAAAAACCATTACAATAAAAATGCTAAAAATTGTACAGCTAAAGAAAGACTCAGTTACCGTCCCAACCCTCACCCCCAATGCCCCTTGAACCCTTCCAGGAGCTGTAAACAAAAATATCTTTTTTGTTTTTTATATCTTTTATCAGAAAAAACTCCACTAAATAAATAAGATCACCGGAGTGCAGACGGGGTCAGGCGTTGTCAGGGTGCCTCAATGCAATCTGAGCAAAACACCAGAAATGGCAACCACCCCCAGCACCCGTGCCACTGGGCCCTTCAAACCCTCAGCCCTGGAGTGTACCCCCAAATCCTACCCCCCGCTGTCCCCCCTCAGTGTAGACTGGGTCCTGGAGTGTACCCCCTAAATCCACCTCCCTGTCCTCCTCAGTGTAGACCGGACCCTGGAGTACACCCCCAAAGGGCCACCTCCACTGGCCCTGCACAACACAAGTATTCCTACAAAGGGGGCCGACAATCAGAGGCTGGCAGGGGTAGCTCTCGCTGGTCACATCTCTGACAAACTGTGCTCCCCATGAGCAATACCGAGTAGCGCCCCAAACCCCAGCAGCTGAGGGCCACGGCGCAGTGTAGACCCCCACAGCGTTCCGGAATTCAGAGAAGCCAACACCAGCCGACAGCTTCCGAGAAGGGGTTCCCGGCTCGAACCCTGCTCCTCAGTCTATGACCCTCAGCTCAGTGACGGTCGTACCCCAGGCAGGTTTGTGTCCAGACAGCGCACCGTCCCGCTCGAAGCCGCAGGCTTGGTACAGCGGTCCTGGACTCGTCTGCAGCATTTTTACAGCAGAGGTCACGTCCAGCCAGGAGCTGCTGCTTAGCCTTCTGGGGTGACTAAAGACACGCAGTGAAACAGACGCTTCACCCGACGACAGGAATCCCGACCGCAGCCAGGTCGGTTTGGCCCGTGTCCTGTACGGGGGGCAGAGGGAGTGACGTCCCCTCTGGACCCACGGGAGCGGTAGCGGACATCCGGCCAGACTGGGAGTTCCTGGGACCCATGTTTCAAACTCCAGAACGAGGAGAACGCCGTGCAACCAGCAGCGCCAGCGGGCACCGCGGTACGGGCCGAGCCTGGCGTCACGGCCAGGAAGAGGCCGGAGCAGGCTGGGATTATAAATACCGCGATCAAAAAAAATGAGTCAGCTCACTCGTTTCCAAGCGTCATCCATGTCCGTGTTCCACGCCTCTCCCGAGGTTTGAAGTCCCGTTTCCACTGGCGACCAACACTGAGGAAGTCCTCCCCACCCCATAGCACACAGGCCCACCTGCAGGGCTCCCTGCTTGTCGTGGCTGAACTTGCCTGCAGACGAGCACGGGCCAAAGCAGGGACCCCCAGTTCTCCCTCCACCCAGAGCCCTCAGCCGGACAGCAGGGGGCAGTCCCGGTCTCGAGTGTTTCCTGCTCGTGCTGGCCGGCGGCAAAAGGGCGCTGCAGGCAATCGCCGAACCGTTTTAAACCTTACGGAGGTGGGCCTGTACAACAAAGTCTGCAAGAAGAAACTGACCAGGATTTTTAAAAAAAACAACCATCCTGAGAATTCAGCGCGGGGGGTGGGGGGCAGCAGGTCACACCTTCCTGTCCGGAGGGGATGGAGACGTGTCCACAGGCCGCTGGGTGGGGTCTGCGCCCCAGGGCCGGCCCGTCCGCCCCCCCCGCAGTGCTGTGCCAACGCTGCACCCCGCCTGGACACCCATCTGGCTGGAGTTAAATCCTGCAGCGGACTGCATGGAGCGGTCCTGCCTTCGAGAGGCTGACGCCACCTGCAGGACCGAGGCTCCTGGGGCGCGAGCAGATCAGTGAACCAGGCTGGACTGTGGTTCTCCGCGACGGGGGCTGTGCCCCCCCTCCAGCCCAGAGCCCCCCCATCTTCACTGAGAGAGAGACTGGGAGTGCTGCACTGCAGCAGGGGGGCGCATGGCGTGGGGGCTCAGGAAGCTGCTCACGTCGCCCATGCTGATGGCCCCAAACTCCGTCGTCACGGAGACGGACACCTGGCCCGGGGTCGCCGAGGTGATGACGCCGGGGGCTGGGGGCGCCGGGGGCTCTACACGCGCAGCGGCGGCAGAGGGGAGGAGGGGCAGGCCCCCGGGAAATGCCTCCGGGAGCGAGAAGCCGACCTTTAACCTCTTGGTGCTGTGCTCGGGCGAGGGCTCCCCCGTGTCCGTGACAAAGGGCCCCAGCTGCAGCTGGTAGTACGCGGGGGCCAGGAGCTCGGGGCGCACGGCGGGGCTGGCGCAGGGCAGGCAGGGGGAGGCAGGGGCCTCTTGCTGGGCGGCGGGGGCACGTGGCGGTTCGGGGCAGCCGGGAGGGCTGGGACAGTTCGTGCTGGGCCGCTCGGGGGGAGACGCGCCCAGCTGGCTGCACAAGAGGCCCCCAGTGTCGCCGTCCCCTGCAGCGCCGTGCAGCATCTCTTCCACTCCGCCGGGCGCCGCGGGACCTGCGGGCAGCACAGAGCAGGGCGGTCAGGCGCCAGCGGGCGGCAACCAATCAAGACAGCCGGGGACTCGTGCAATGACCCTGTAAGACCAACGACTCGTCCTCAGCCAATGAAAACAGCACACAGCAAAAACACAATGACAGCCTACTGGAAAGATCATTCAGGGCTGCTGTGATTGACGGCCCAGGGATACCGAGCCTTCCGCCAAATTTAACTTCGATTTACAGAAAACACAAACAGCTATGGGCATTAAATAACGGCAAGGGCTGGTGTGCTCTTGGAATCAATGCCAAGGGTGAAATATCAGGCTCCCACTGCAGAGCAGTCTGCTACATTCCAGGTCTTGCCAACCGCAGGGGCTGGAGAGGTCAAGGGCTAGTCGCCAGGTTTTTGGATCTACCCTGCAGCAGCAGGTGACATCAATTGCAATCACAATCACAGGGATGCATTCAGATCTCGCAGCTGCAACTTGCGCAGGAGCCCCAGCAGGTGGCAAAACCTGAAACGGATCCAGCTGCTGCGCACTCGGAGCGCAATCCGTCCCCCTGCAGGGCGCCCAGGCTCTGGCAACGCCCACTTCTCCCCACAATGCCGCGCGACAGGGCACACCGAGCCGCGGCCCTTCCTTCCTGTGTTACCTGCGCGCGTCTGTTTTGTTTGTGGGGCTTGTTTGCTGTGAAATCAGGGTTTTAAGTGAAAGCGAGGGGTTCTCTTCCGCCGGGGACGCCCCTGCAAAGGAGCTGTGAACCTCAGGCCCTCCTGCTCTGGGTGAACAAACACACACACACACAAATAAAATCAAAATAAAAACACACAACAGCACACAAATGAACCGGCACAGACTAATGCATTCATGAAAAGAGTGAAGATGTAAAAACTAAAGCGCAAAGAAAAAGGGTGCTTACAACAGGCCAGGGCCCAGCCAAACATGGGAAGAGATTCAAGAAAAAGAAGCAGCACTACAGCCATGTAAATACACCTCAAACTCTGGGGAAAAGCACCGCCTCACGTCAGGCTCTGCATGGCTTTAATTGGCACAAAGCACTGCGTGAGGTTTTGTGGGCTGGGCTGCCTTTTTGTTCTTGAAAATGCATGAACAGAATCAAACCAGCAAATCACTGCAGCAAAAGTAACGCATGATTTGAAAAAAAAAAAAGAACTGAAATAATTCACCTGAAGCGAAAATGGCAGGAGACACAGCTGGTTCCTACAACTCAGTGCTGGCGAAACAGTCCCAAGCACACACCTGCTCAGCCCCGCCCCCGACCCTGCCCCAACCCTCCAGACAAGGGCTGTGATGTCCACAGCCTGGGGAGGAACCCAGCCCCCCTCTCCTCCAGTTTGTTGTGCCCTGTCGGCGCCGAACAGAAATCACAAACGCCTTCACCCCCAGCCTGGTGCGTTCGGGGCTCAGCAGCTCTGAGCCGGACAGCCGGCCATCCTGTGTCGCACCCGCACACCCCTCCACAAGCTCCCAGGGGCGGCATGGGACCCAACTGCTGCAGTGGAGCCCTGAGTGCTGGCGTCCGGCTGGGACAGAGATGGCCCTCGCCAGCTCCGACGTGGCGACCCTTCCGGACGGAGCCGCCCCGACACCCCCTCGCCGTGCCGCGTGGCGCGGCCGCCGAGCCGGTACCTTCTTTGCCCAGCTCCAGGGGGTCCTGCGGGGACGGCGGGCCCAGCTGCGCCGTGGCGGAGGGCTCGGGCGGAGAGCTGCGGGCGTGGCTGCTGCCGTCCCCCTCCACGCCCTCGCCGTCCTGCTCCGCGTCGTCCCTGCGGGGACACGAGCATCGCAGGTAAAGTCACACATGGAGCACGAAGAACACGAGAACAACCAGTCCGAACAAAGCCCAAACCCAACCTGTGATCCCCTCTGCCTCGCCTTACTCTAACTCATTAGAAGCATCGAGATACAGACCCAATAAAAGCCTGGATTCCCAGCACTGCTCACTCAGTGGGGGCTCTGCATGCAGAACCCCCAGCAAACAAGCAGCCGCCCTCGACCCACCGGGTCAAACTTCTGATTCCAGCAGCCATATCATCCTGCAACTCACAACTGGCAACCCAGGTGTGAGCCTGGTCAGTACCTGGATGGGAGACCTCCTGGGAAAAACTAAGGTTGCTGCTGGAAGAGGTGTTAGTGTGGCCAGCAGGGGGAGCTCACCCTGCGGTCCATGTGGGTCCTAATGCCCCAGTATAGTGATGGGGACACTATACTGTAAACAGGCGCCGTCCTTCGGATGAGACGTAAAACCGAGGTCCTGACTGTCTGTGGTCATTAAAAATCCCAGGGCGTTTCTCGAAAAGAGTAGGGGTGTAACCCCGGGGTCCTGGCCAAATTTCCCATTGGCCCTTACCGATCATGGCCTCCTAATAATCCCCATCTATGAACTGGCTTCATTACTCTGTTCTCCTCCCCACTGATAGCTGATGTGTGGTGACTGTTCTGGCGCACTATGGCTGCCGTCGCATCACCCAGGTGGGGCTGCACACTGGTGGTGGTGGAGGGGAGACCCCATTCCCTGTAAAGTGCTTTGAGTGGAGTGTCCAGAAAAAGCACTATATAAGTGTAAGCAAGTAAGTATAGTAAGTATTTAAACAGGCAGACAGTGACAGTTCCATCAGAGCCGGAAGGAGACAGAAGAGACAGAAGGAGCAAGTCCTCCGATGAAAACACAACTTTCGAAAAATTAGCTTTTGTGGGTTGTTCTGGGCTCAGAACAGGCGCAGATAGTTTTACACCAGAGCCAAAAGCTCTAGGAAAGTATTCCTGGCCCTGACCCCCCCCATGACCTCCACGTGACCCCGGCCAGCAGTGACAGTTCAGTCAGGACAGGTTACTTACAGTATCGGGGAGTAACAAGACTGCGTGAGCAGAGGTCCCTCTTACTCCTTGCTCCAAATCTGTGCACCTTCCCTCAGCTACAGAACAGAAGAACACTTTGAAAATATCGGGGATTTTAAAACCCCTTTGTACTCACATGTTCCCGGGCTGCAGGCTGAACCTCTTGCGCCCGAACCTGCTGGTCTGCTGAGTGAAGAACTCGTGCCGGTCGGACTTCTTCCACATGTAGTAATACTCCACACACTCCCCCACCGAGCGCGTGCGCACCTGGCACAGACACAAGATGAGATCGCTTTATTGGCCATATACAATTTCTTGTAATAGGAATTTGTCTTTTCACAGACCCCAGCTTGCTCTCCATGAGACACACAGACAGGGAGAGATGATTGGGGTCAGAGCCATTTATACGGCACCCCTGGAGCAGCTGGGGTTAAGGGCCTTGCTCAGGGGCCCAACGGAGTAGGGTTCCTCTGCCGGCCGCAGGATACGAACCGGTAACCTTACAGCCACAGGTGAAGATCCTGAGCCACAGAGCCACCACACTGCCCCAAAAACGCACCGCTGCAGTGACAGGGGAGATGCGCGATCCCAAGGCACATCGCCCCCCCAAACCCCAGCACAGCGACACCCCTCGAAACCCCAGACTGGGAGCGCTGTGTACAGATGGTACAGATGAGCTCAGGTCCAAGCCCGGGCTGCGTCACACCACACCGCAGCTGGCTGAGCTCTTCCCTTAACATGCTTTCAGCTTGAGACCCAGGACCTGCGACCCACGACCTGCGACCTCCAGCCACATCACCAGCACTGCGGCTGAGGCAGGGAGTCGGGAGTCCAGGGGAGGAAGGGGGTGTACATGTCTTGGGCCTTTTGTGCAAAAACATGTCGTTAAAAACCAGTGAAGTTTTTAAAGAGGAGCCCCGTGATTGGACAGGGAAGGGAGCCGCAGGGGCTGCTGCGATCGCGAGACCGAGACAGCAACGTCGCCAAAGGCGCCTGCTTGGCGTGTGGCCTGCGTGGTTTCCGGGTGCTGATCGAACCCTGGCAAACGGGCTGGAAAAACAACCCAGGTGGGTCAGAAATGGGTCCTGGGCTGCGTGCGCGACACACCCGCCCATGGTCTTGACCTTTGACCCAAGGGGTGACCCAGTGTTCCCAGGGAAAAACCCCAAACCGATCCAATGACACGGCCACGCCCAGAGCAGGAGCTGGAACTTCCACGACATTCTCCAAAATGGGGGACAGCTTATTTCCCGGAAGATTCTGGGAAGCCTTCAGCACCCACCTTGTTGGCCTGGATGAGATGGAAGTTCTTGCCGTGGACGCGGTAGCCGTGCTCGAAATTCCGACACTCCTCTTCGCTCCAGGCGCACAGCTCTTCTGCAGACAGGAAGAAGAACGTCAGGGGGCGTGGGGGCAGAGATCGGCGGCTCTCAGGCACGTCGAGAGGCTGATGGGTTAAAACCGCCCCAGTCGCTGACCGTCGTGGTGGGGGGTGTGGGGGCTGGCGTTACCTCTGAAGACTTTCACGTTGAACCGGAGTCTCCGCAGGGCCTCCTCTGCATCGAAGCTGCACTTCACCAGCTCGTACAGCGCCTGCGGAGCACAGAGGAGAACCACAGTGGGTCAACCAGAACCGGACAGCACAGCCTGCCCGGCTGACAGCCCGGTTGTGCTGCAGGTATCAGGAGGCAAGGACCGTCCAGCAGCTGACTGGACCTCAGGCTCTTCACGGCCCAGAGCCAAAACCCCTCTGCTGCTCCAGCCAAACCCCTGGGCACTGAAGCAGTTTACACAGGGATCCATCACTGGATTTTAATTCATGAATTACATGTTCCTAGGAATTCAAGAGCACTGAAGCTGAGTAACAAAGAAATTGTCAATTATGCAATTAAAGAGCACTAAATTAATTGGTCACATCAGAGCTAAACTAAGTCCTCCTCCAATGCCAAGCCTGTCAACCCAAGCCTCAGGGCTGCTGCCTCAAGTTCACCCCCAAACCCCCCATTTCCAGGGACCAGGGAGAGGCTGTTCCAGGGCTCCTCTCCCCACTCCCCGCTGGGTAAGGGCACCTCCCTGTCCACCCTCGGGGAACCAGGCCCTGCTGGGTCAGGGGCACAGGGGCACCTCCCTCTCCACCCTCAGGGAACCGGGCCCCCCTGGGACAGGGGTGCCTCCCTGTCCACCCTCAGGGAACTGGGCCCCCCTGGGTCAGGGGCACAGGGGCGCCTCCCTGTCCACCCTCGGGGAACTGGGCCCCGCTGGGTCAGGGGCACAGGGGCGCCTCCCTGTCCACCCACGGGGAACTGGGCCCCGCTGGGTCAGGGGCACAGGGGCGCCTCCCTGTCCACCCTCGGGGAACTGGGCCCCCCTGGGACAGGGGTGCCTCCCTCTCCACCCTCGGGGAACCGGGCCCCGCTGGATCGTGCTGTACCTGCTCGTTGTCCTTGATGATGGCACCCGGCGTGCCGGGCTCCGCGGTGCCCCTGTCCTCCTCGCCCCCCCGCCGCTCCGCGCGCAGCAGGAACTGCTCCACGTCGCTCTCCGACAGCACCCAGGGGTCCCACAGGAGCTGGTCCTCGTTCTCATAGGCTGGGGGGAGAGCAGGGAGACCCCCGTAACGCCTGAACCCCAACTTGCCCATCGGCTCTCGTCCCGCTGCTGACTGTAACCCTGTCACAGGCCTGGAGCGAGGCCCCAGACTTCACTCAAACCAAGGAGTTTAACAGTTCTAATTAAGCAAAAAAGCAGTTCAATTAAGGCTTTAAAAATCATAACAAAGCCCCAGGTAGAAGGAAGACCAGGGACCGAGCTTGACAGCTGCTACCTTCTCTCAGCACGGAGTTAAGCTCCTCACGGGAGCAATCAAGAGCAGTTTTTAGGTAAAGTCTCAAGGGCAGGCGCAGCCTCTGCTCACTGATCGGGAAAATCTTCACAGAAGGAGGAGAGGAGAATCTATGCCCACAGGGCCAGGGAGACGGGAGAGGAGAGTCGTACCTCTGTCCTGGAATCGATACGCGTTCAGCGCAGGAATGGCTGCCTGGTACTGAGGCCCCACCATGATGTCCTACAGCAGAGAGAACCGGAATCCACAGGTTACCCCGACACACAGACTCTTGCTCAGCCAACACGAACGGCACCCCCTTCACACAGGGGGGTCCAGGCCCTGAGGACCCCGGTGAGGGAGCGGGGGACAGGGCTGGCATGGAACCGTCCACAACACGAGAGAGAAGACCACAGGCCTGCGATCGCCCTCTCCCACCCCACTCCACTGGGCCCAGTCTTCCCTCGCGCTGCGCCCCGTGTGCGCCCCAGGACGGCGGCGGCGGGCGCTCTTACCTTGCGGCAATCGTTGGGGGGGATGGAGCCGTCCTCCGAGCCCGAGTCCGAGTCGCTGGAGCAGGAGTCCTTGTCCTCGCCCGTGGGGGAGTGAGCTGCGGAGAGTCAGGAGTCACTCAGCGGGAACGGGTTCGCTTCACTTCCGCGGCTCGGAACCTCGGCGCGACCCGCCCCCCCGCACTCACCCTCCAGGTGCCGCGGGAAGAGGTCGGAGGCGTGGGAGGTCACGGACGGGGTGAGGTCGTCTGCGGACGACTGCGTCTCCTCCTCCTCCTCCCCGGAGAGCAGGTCCTTCGCGATCTGCTCCTGGAATTACAGGAATGCGCGGAAAGCTCTCAGCCTCTCCCGGCGGGAGCGCTCCCCCTTGCTCCAAAAACGCTCGTTTCCCGTTTCCCGGTTTCCCCTTCAGCTTCGCGGCGGACCGACCGCGAGGGGGCTCCTGGAGATCGAGGACTCAGCAGGGGAACCGAATTCACGTTAATTAAGGACTTGACCAGGACAGCGGACCAGCTCAGCCGGAATGACTCCCTAAGGAAGCCCAGAACCGGAATCTGGCCAGGACAGGGGGTTCCCACCCCTGTGCTTTTCCACAGCCAAGGGATCCTTAATAATCAAGTAGCCGGGACCTTAGTATACCGTTTATCACATAGACCGCTGGTCTGGAGCTTCTGGCCCACAGGGAAGAGCACCACCTACTGGTCCTCCACCAACAGCCACATTACTAACTTGATTCTGCTGAGGTCTCCTGTCAGCGCTGTGACCAGCCCGGCCTCACTGAGCTTCCGAGACTGTGACCAGATCAGGCTAGAACGTGGCAACGCAGCTGCATTAACTGAGGCAGCAACAGGCTTAGCTCGTCTTGGAGAAGCGTGTCTTTAGCCAGTGAGACAGCGGCCGGGCTGGCAGCCTCACCAGCACCGCCATGCTGTCCCTCACCTTGTCCAGTGTCATGTCCGGCAGGGCAGTAGACAGCTCGTGGGCCTCGCTGCCCTGCTCGGAGATGGGGTCCGAGGCCTCGTACCCATACAGAGCCAGCAGCTCCTCCAGCGGCATCTCGCTCTCCTGCTGGGAAGAGAAGGGAGGGGGAGACAGACAGGGGATCAGAGTTGTCACGCACGAGCACGCACGAGCACGCACGAGCACGCACGAGCACGCACGAGCACGCACGAGCACGCACGAGCACGCACGAGC